AACCACAATTATCTGAAAAGATGAAACAAACACTCCCCCCTTTTCCATTTATACCTCCAACTACATTCCCAGCTATGGTTTGTCCAGTAATGAAAGCTATGGTCAAAGCTGTGGTTTTTTCCAGTAGTCATGTATGGATGTGAGAATTGGACCACAAAGGAAGCTGAGTGCCAAAGAAGTGATGCCTTTGCACTGTGGTGTTGGAGAAGACTCTTTAGAGTCCCTTGGACTGCAAGGAAATCAAACCAGTCCATCCTAAAGGAACTTAGTCCTGAATATTCATTGGAAGGACTGATGCTGAAGATGAAGCTCCAATACACTGGCCACCTGATGCGGAGAACCCGCTCACTGGAAAAGACCCTGATGCTGGGAAAGATTGAAGGCAAAGGAGAAGGGGATGACAGAGGACAAGATGTTTGGATGGCATCCAACTCGATGGGTATGAGTTTGAGCAAACTCTGGGAGATGGTGAAGGACAGGAAAGCCTGGCATACTGCAGTCCATGGGGTCGCAGAGTCGGACACGACTGAGTGACTGAACTGAACTGACATTCCCAGTGGTCTTTGGAAGCCTGGATTTTCTTCACAGAGTTCAGAGAAAGCACAAATCACAGCATTCTAATGCAGAGACAGATGTGATATCCAAGTCTACTGTTAAGGCAGAGATGAAAGACGTGTGTGTGTGTGTGTGTGTGTGTGTGGATGAAAGATATGCAGAAATGTAAAACAATGTTGGTCTTCTCACCTATACTATTTATGTTAATAGGTAATGGCTCATTATTGTCATTTTTAAAAGAACAGATTTGTTGAGATATAATTCACATGCATAGACTTCATCCTTTTGAAGCATACAATTCAATGGTTTTTATTATATTCATGGAGTTGTACAATCATCATCACTATCTAATTTTAGAATATTTCCAGTGCAATGAAAGATGGCATGAAGAGACTTAGGAAGAGCACAGACACTAACAATTACTTCATTCGTCAAGGACAAAACCTTTTCCTCCAAAACAAATCAAAGCCCTGAGATTTTGTCTTATTAAAGAGGTTGAGAATGCCAAGATATGCAGGACTGAATGCCTCCAGAGATGGACTCAGACCCAGGTTTCTGCTCACTTGGAAACGTTTTTCCATTTCTGGACTTGGGTTCATTCTGACTTCCTAGTAACTTGCAGATCCATGCTTCCCGGAGGGCCGAGAGACTGGTGCCAACCCATCTAGGCTGAAGGGCACACCCGTTCTCGTCTGAATGCCACAGAACCACAAGAGACTCATGCCTGCAGGCATTTTCAGAGGGAGGACTGGCAAATTGTATTTTCCTAACATGGTCACAATGGAGGCTTCCCTGGGGTGCAGTGGCTAAGACTCCCTGCTCCCAATGCATGGGGCCTGGGTCCCATCCCTGGTCAGCAGATCCCATATACTGCAACTTAATATCCCGAGGGCCACAGCAAAGATCGAAAACCCCGAGTGTCATGACTAAGACTTGGTGCAGCCAAATAAATTTTTTTTTTTTTTTTTACGAAAAGAGAACAAAATGAGCAATTTTTAAAAATCAATAGATTTTAAAAATGAAGACAGATGATCACAGTGTCACATATCCCATCTCACACACTATTTTTAGGTGATTTTTATCATGCCTCCATTGAGAGGTGGAGATTTTATTTTTTATTTTGGGCTGTGCTGGGTCTTTCTTGCTGTGCTTTTCTCTAGTGGCGAGTAGGGGCTATGCTCTAGTTGCAGTGCATGGACTTTCCATTGCCGTGGCTTTTCTTATTTCGAAGCATGGGCTCTAGGGCTCGTGGGCTTCAGTAGCTGTGGCATGTGAACTCAGTGTTTGCGGCTCTCAGGCTCTAGAGCACAGGCTCATAGCTCTGGCACACGGGCTTAGTTGCTTTGCAGCATGTGGGATCTTCCTGGACCAGGGATCGAACCTGTATGCTTGCATTTGCAAGCGGATTCTTACCCACTGGACCACCATCCAAGGAAGCCGGAGGACTGGAGATGTATGTCCTCTCTCCTTCATGACTGTTCTAACCAATAGAGTCGAGCTGTGTGATTTCTGATCCTATTCATGAGAGGCGATGAAGTTTCTACCTCACTCTCCCTCTTTGCAAGCCCTTTGGAAAAGACCCTGATGCTGGGAGGGATTGGGGGCAGGAGGAGAAGGGGATGACAGAGGATGAGATGCTGGGAACCCAGCAACCATGCTGGGAGGAAGCACAGGCCATTTGTAGGTGTTCTAGTCCAAGGAAGGGCCAAGCATCAGCCAGCGTCAGTCCATACCTGGGAGGGTAAAAGTCTTCAGATGGATTCTCCCCTCCAGCCTCTGAGCTACCCCTGCTTGCACCAAGTGGATCAAAGAAGGGACTTCCCCATGAAGGTCTGTCCAAAGTGCAGACTTGTGAGCAAAGTAAATGTGTTGTTTGGGCCTTAGGTTTGGGGATAGTTTGTTACACAGCAATAGGGAACTGAAAAGAAGTCCTGGAGGTAAAACACGTTTGATTTCCCCTGTGAAATGCAAAGGGGCTTCTCTGATGGCTCAGACGGTAAAGAATCTACCTGCAGTTCAGGAGACCCAGGTTCGATCCCTGGGTCGAGAAGATCCCCTGGAGAAGGGAATGGCCACCCACTCCAGTATTCTTGCCTGGAGAATTCCATGGACAGAAGAAAGGTAAAATCTCCTGTACCCATCCTCCAGGAATGTTAGTGAAATAAACACACTCATGGGATGACACAGGCAAAATGGTTTCAACGGCTCTAAAGCTACCACAGCTCCCCTCTTGTACGGCTCCATTGCAAGCAATCACGTTTGTTTTCTGGTTACAGCAGTTTTGTGTTGTCATTGTACAACATTCAGAGAAGTGAGAATTAAAACGGTTGACGGAAGTGGTTGGACTCCTAGCAGTTACAGTGGTTAATAATTTGACCCCGGGCTTCTCTGGTGGCTCAGTGGTAAAGAATCCGCCTGCCAATGCAGGAGACACGCGTCCGACCCCTGGTCTGGGATGATCCCACACGCCGTGGAGCAACTAAGCCCGTGCACCACAGCTATTGAGCCTGTGCTCTAGAGCCTGGAAGCTGAAACTACTGAGCCCACGTGCCCCAACTACTGAAGCCCCTGCACCCTATAGCCTGTGCCCCACAGCAAGAGACGTCACCACAATGAGAGGCCCGTGCACCGCAACTAGCGAGAAGCCGCCACTTGCCACAGTTACAGAAAAGCCCGTGCATCAGCAAAGACCGAGCACAGCCAAGCAATAAATAAAATTATTTTAAAAAATAATAGTTTGGCCCCTCTCTCTTTAGTTTTTTTTTTCTTCTGTGTATAGAAATGTATTTTACAAAATATCGGTCATATTTGCACAGTAGTATTGATGTATATGTGTGTTAGTAGCTTAGTCATGTCCGACTCTTTGTGACCCCATGGACTATAACCCACCAGGCTCCTCTGCCTGTGGGGATTCTCCAGGCAAGAATACTGGAGTGGGTTGCCAGGCCCTCCTCCAGGGGATTGTTGCGAACCAGGGATCAAAACTGTGTCTCTTTGTCTCCTGCATTGGCAGGAAGGGTCTTTATCACTAGTGCCACCTAGGAAGCCCCAATAGGGATGTTAAAAGCATTTTATTTGATCACTTTATTTAAAAACTTAATTTTTCCCTAATTAAATATGTGTGTGTGTGTGTGTGTGTGTGTGTGTGTGTATGGGACTTCCCAGTAGGGATGTTGACAAGGTTCTATTTGATCAATTTATTTAAAAATTTAATATTTTCCCTAATTTTATATATATATATATATATATATATATTTTTTTTTTTTTTGGAAAGATCCCCTGGGGGAGAACATGGCAACTCACTTTAGTATTTTTGCCTGGAGAATCCCCACAGCCAGAGGAACCTGGTGCGCTACAGTCCATGGGTGGCAAGGGGCCAGACAGGCCTGAACGAATAAGCACACAGGCCTCTCCAGATGCTCAGAATCCCTGCCAAGACCCCTCGTGCCCTACACACCCCAGTGCCAAAGGCTGGTCCTGGATCTCAGGTGCCCACAGCCAGCAGTGGGGACAGGCCCTGGGCAGCAGCCCCCAGGCAGTCAGAACAGAGTCAGGACAGAGTCAGAACGGAGTCCTCAGGGGCAGAGTGGTGTTTACAAGATTTTCTCAAGGCTTGGCTGACGTAACAGCCATCCACATCAGCCTTCCGCAGGGAATGACGTGTGTGTGTGTTTTTTTTTACCATGGTATTAAAATGCTGACTTATTTATTTTCAAGCTTCTTTTTTACTGTCTTGTGTTTCACAGAAAAAGTCAGAGTCCCCAAAGTGGCGCTGGTGTCTTACCACAAGAGAGCCAGGAGTTCCTCTCTGCTTGCTTTTTTTTTTTTTTTTCTGTTTGCTTATTTGTTTTTAGTATTTTTAGTATGTTTTGGAGACATGTCTTTACAGCGAGTGTTTAAGAGTCAGCTCGCCCTTCCCCGCACTCCCTGAGCGCGCCTCCCCCTCCCAGACCCCGCGGCCAGTGGCGGCGGGGGGGCCTCCCGCAGTCCTGGGGGCGCGCGGGTGTCACTCGGGAGCGCTCGGCTCCCCCCACCCCCAGTCTGTCACCGGCCGCGAGCGCCGGCAGTCGGGGCACTTCTGGGGGACGAGAAAGGAACCGCCAGAACGGTAGTGAAACTTTCGCCCGCTGCCGTTCCCGGAGGACCCCAGGGTCCCCGGGCCCCCGGGGGCAGGCGGAATCTCAGGGTTGGTCCGAGGATCCGCGCCCCGTCCCGAGAGGCGCTCGCGGCCCGTCGACATCCCCGGGACAGGCGGGCACCTGTGGCCTCCGGGGCGGGCGGTTCCCGAGCCACAGCGCCTCCTTAAAGCCGCGGCTCCGCCCCGCCTGCCCACGGTTCCACCCAACCGCCGGGTCCCCGCCGTCTCGGCAAAGTGTCGCAGAGTCGCCAGCCGCCCAGGAGCGCGCTGTCCGCCCGGTCCCTGAGGCTCCGGATCCACCGAGGCCATGGCCAGCGAGGAGCTGGCGAGCAAGCTGCAGCGGCGACTGCAGTGGGAGGAAGGGGATAGAGGGCTCCAGCCCGCGCCCGGAGCCGCCCCAGACCCCGAGCCCCAGCCCCAGTCGCAGCCGCCCGCCTGGGCGCCCACCGCCAGAGCCGACGCCGAGCTGAGCGCCCAGCTGAACCGACGGCTGGACATCAACGAGGGCGCGGCGCGGCCCCGCCGCTGCAAGGTCTTCCACCCATACTCGGAATTCCCGGAGTTCAGCCGCCGCCTCATCAAGGACCTGGAGAGCATGTTCAAACTGTGAGCGCTCCGCGCCGTGCGACCCCGGGGACTCGGGGACCCGGAGGCCCGTAGGGAGGGGGCGGTGGCAGTGGGTCGGTATCTCGGAGTCCCAGGCCCCGCTTGGGGTGGGACGTAGGGGGCCAGTGCAGGGGTTTCGTTATCATTTAACCCTAACGTCCCCCAGATCCCGCACGCCCCCAGCGATCCCGGCGCGGCGGTGGTGGGCGATCCAGCCGGGCTGGGACACCAAGGGCAGGAGCTGCGGTTCTCCCTGATCCGGCTCAGAAGTTCCGCTCGGGCCGCCGAGCCCGAGTCCCGGGCTCAGGGGTCCAGACGGCGGGTCCCGCCCCCTCCGCCGCCAGGGCTCGGAGATTTTGCCCAGCGCGCAACTTCTAGGAAAAGGAGACGCGCTGCGCCTCACCTGCCAACTTTATCTCCCGAGGGAGAAATTAGCCTCTTTGTCCTTTATCTTTTTAAAAACAAAGGAGGAAACTTATCCTTGGATGCCGCGCGGGGTTTGATGTACCCGCTGAGACAGAGAACTGGGATTTTGTTAAACTCTTCGCAGAAGATCAGTACGTTCCGGGAGCGAGCGCGTTTGGGGAGCCTCCCGGGGGCGTCGCCTTGGCCGTGTTCCGCGTTCTTGCCTCTTGGGCAGGAGGCGCCCGTCGGAACCGGACACGGCAGCTGGCAGCTGGTCCGGCGGGGGCTCATTCCGGTCGTGCCCCTCGGGGGAGCCCCAACCCCGGACGATGGAGGCAGCGTTGCCTGGAGGCTTGTACTAGTAGTTGGCCTCGTAGTCTGGCAGCTCCCCGGGCCTCAGTTTCTTCATCTGGAGAGTGGGGAGAAGAAATCATCCTGCCTTTTAAGGCCAGAAAGTATTTTGCACACCATAAGCTCCCAACTGAGCTATTAATATTTGTTGGAGAATTACGCCAAGACCGGGAAATGCCTGGGGGGACCGGAGGCCGCCGGCCAGGTCTTGCTTGGGGCGATTTAAAAAAAGCGCTTGGAATGTGTTCGTCCTACCCGCGGAGGTTCTATTTAAAGGCGCTGTGGCCGGCGTAGTGTGGTGGGAGCCTGAGCCCCTTGCTGAGGCCGGACTGTGTCCAGCTCCAGCCTCGGCACCGAGGTCGGCAGATTGGTACCCGGAGCCACCGCATCAACTCGGCTTCCTTGACACCCTAATTTCCCGGTCCCTGCTTCCAGGCTTTGTTCTCTGGAGTTAACACCTGGTGGGTCTAATTTGGGCCATTAAGGAGCCCTGGGGCTTCCCAGATGGTGCGCAGTTCAGTTCAGTCACTCAGTCATGTCCGACTCTTTGCGACCCCATGAATCGCAGCATGCCAGGCCTCCCTGTCCATCACAAACTCCTGGAGTTTACTCAAACTCATGCCCATCGAGTCGGTGATGCCATCCAGCCTTCTCATCCTCTGTCGTCCCCTTCTCCTCCTGCCCCCATTCCCTCCCAGCATCAGGGTCTTTTCCAGTGAGTCAACTCTTCGCATCAGGTGGCCAAAGTATTGGAGTTTCAGCTTCAGCATCAGTCCTTCCAATGAATACCCAGGACTGATCTGCTCTAGGATGGACTGGTTGGATCTCCTTGTAGTCCAAGTGACTCTCAAGAGTCTTCTCCAACACCACAGTTCAGAAGCATCAATTTTTCAGCGCTCAGCTTTCTTCACAGTCCAAATCTTACATCCATACATGACCACTGGAAAAACCATGGCCTTGACTAGACGGACCTTTGTTGGCAAAGTAATGTCTCTGCTTTTTAATATGCTGTCTAGGTTGGTCATAACTTTCCTTCCAAGGAGTAAGCATCTTTTAATTTCATGGCTGCAGTCACCATCTGCAGCGATTTTGGAGCCCCAAAAAATAAAGTCTGACACTGTTTCCACTGTTTCCCCATCAGGAAACAATAGTTAGAACTGGACATGGAACAACAGACTGATTCCAAATAGGAAAAGGAGTATGTCAAGGCTGTATATTGTCATCTGGCTTATTTAACCTATATGCAGAGTACATCATGAGAAATACTGGGCTGGAAGAAGCACAAGCTGGAATTAAGATTGCTGGGAGAAATATCAGTAACCTCAGATATGCAGATGACACCACTCTTATGACAGAAAGCAAAGAGGAACTAAAAAGCCTCCTGATGAAAGTGAAAGAGGAGAGTGAAAAAGTTGGCTTAAAGTTCAACATTCAGGTGGCGCTAGTGGTAAGAAGACAAAGAAGAAAGAAAGAAAGTGAAGTCGCTCTGTTCTGTCCAACTCTTGGTGACCCCATAGACTGTAGCCTACTAGGCTCCTCCATCCTTGGGATTTTCCAGGCAAGATTTCTGGAGTGGGTTGCTGTTTCCTTCTCCAGGAAAGAAGACATAAGAGATGTGGTCTGAACCTGGGTGGGGAAGACCCTCTGGAGGAGGGCATGGCAACCCACTCCAGTATTCTTGCCAGGAGACTCCCATGGACAGAGGAGCCTGGGGGGCTACAGTCCCTAGGATCACACAGAATCGGAGATGACTGAAGCGACTTAGCACAGCATGGAGAGCTGAGTCAAGGCAGAAGCCTGTGACTGGGGCAGAGACTGAAAAGTGCACGGTTTGTCAGCACCCCTTTAGCTTATTTGGGGTTATGCCTCCCCTGGCATACTGTTCCCCGACTGACTGCTCCCAGGGCCCAGTGGTTCCTCTCAGTCCAGGTGGCTTTAGAGAGGGCATCACAGGGACCATCATATTCTTCTTGCCTTGGGGTCATTTAGATTTCTTTCATTTGTTTGTTTTTATTATTATTTTTATTTTTTCCATAGAACAGTCTTTGAAAGGCTGTTTGTTTGTTGGCTGCCTAAGAGTAATAAAGGGGGTCCACACAATCAGAAGGTTGGATGGCATCACAGAATTGATGGACATGAGTGTGAGCAAACTCTGGGAGTTGGTGATGGCCAGGGAGGCCCGGCTTGCTGCAGTCCATGGGGTCTCAAAGAGTTGGACTGAATTGAACACAATCATAGGAGCTTGGGAGATCAAGCAAGATGGCACCGATGAGGAAACAGATGCTGAAAGAAGGTCAAGCTAAAGGGCAGGCAGTATGTGGTCTAGGGTCCTGAAGAACTGGCAGCCTAGTCAAGTGTGGGACTTCTTTCTCCAGCACTACTGTGCCAGCCACAAGTCTAGGTGGGGTTTTCTGCCACTTGCAACCAAAACTGGCAGAAGTGAAAAGGGCATTAATGGGCTCAAGAAGTTAAGAAAAAAGAGCTAGTGTCAGGTATGGCTGGATCTGGGAGCTCAAATGATGCCCTCAGAGCTTCGTGTCTTTTTCTGAAGCCAGCTTCCTCTCTGTGTAGTCCCCCTTCTCAGGTGGCTTATCCCTGGTGGTGGCAGTGTGGCCACAGCGGCTCCAGTAGGCCCAGCGGGAAAGGTAACCATAGCAAAGGCCTTATCGTGTGTGTGTCTTTTGTAGCTTTACTGTTGTTTCTGGTTGGCTCCAAATCTGTTGTTGCTGCCAGAGGAATTCCTTGCTCTGATTGGCCGGGCCTAAGCCACCTGCCCTACCCCTGCGGTGACTGGCAGAGGGTTTGGCAGTGGGGCTCTTGCTGAGGAAGCAGGTGGGGGCAGTGATGAAAATACCACCTTCCAGTGAAGGCCAGGTAGCTGCTGTGACTGCCAAGGGCAGGGACCACTGGGGGAATCATGCTTTCCCTGATGGTGGTTTGGAAAGACCCCTCCCTCCCCACCAAATGTAGCGCCGTGCTGTGCTTAAGTTGCTTCAGTCATGTCCGACTCTGCAACCCTATGGACTGTAGCCCACCAGGCTCCTCTGTCCATGGGAGTCTCCAGGCAAGAATACTGGAGTGGGTTGCCATGCCCTTCTCCAGGGGATCTTCCCCACCCAGGGATTGAACCCGGGTCTCCTGCATTGGCAGGTGGGTTCTTTATCACTAGCATCATCTGGGAAGCCCCCCTTAAATCTAGTATCAAGACCCAATTATCCATTTTGAGTTTGGAGAAGGTACAGACAGAGCCCCCCCACCACCCCCATTCCAGGGTCATTCACTGTGATCGTGGGCAAGTTGCTTAACCACATCTCGCTCTTCATCTGTAAAATGGGGGCAGCTGTTTCTTTCAAGTTTTTTTTTTAAGTTTTTAAAATTTATTTTTGGCTGTGCCGGGTCTTCGCTGCTGCACAGGCTTTTCTCCAGTTGCAGTGCCTGAACTTTTCACCACCGTGGCTTCTCTTGTTGTGGAGCACCGGCTCTAGGGCATCAGGGCTTCAGTGGTTTCGACTCCCAGGCTCCAGAGCACAGGCTTAGCAGTGCTGGCTCACCGGCTTAGTTGCCACATGTGGGATCTTCCCAGATCAGGGATAGAACCCACCTCTCCTGCACTGGCAGGCAGATTCTTTCCCACTGAGCTCCCAGGAAAGCCCTCTTTCAAAGGTTTGTTGAGAACAGAGAGGAGGGGGTGACAAGGAGTGCCAAGTCAGTCTGAGACATGAAGCAGGGGCGTTTTGCTGAGAGCTGTTCCCAGCTTTGGCTCCAAGCCCCATGTCGGTGTCTGAAACCCCCCCTGCCCTGCTACCCACACCGGCACAAACAGGGACTCCTCGGCCCTGACCCCCGTGAGCGGCCACCTGAGCGTGATGGGGTCCCCCGTCAGGGGCTCCTGCCCAGCTTTCTCCCCTGCGAGGCAGCTGAAATCTTGCTCCCCTCACCCCACCAGGGTCAGGAGCTCCCAGCCTGGGGGCGTTTGTCACCTGGACGCTCTGACTCAGCTCTGCCCTTCAGTCCTCATCCCCCTCCTACCCAGGAAGGCTGTGGTGGGGCCTGGCATCTGGGGATTTGCCACCTGCTGGCCTGGCACTGCCACCTTCCTATCGGTGCCCTTTGCAGTTGGTGAGGTCCTTGATCCCAGCTTTGCTCGCAGCTCAGCCCAGCTTTCCTGCTGGACCTCTTTCATGTTTCCCTCTTCCTGCTGTCCTACATGACTTAAAAAAAAAACTACATCTACATAAGTCCTC